AGCGAGGGGCCGCGGGGGCAGGGGCTCCTTAAAAGAAAGGAGGTGCGTGGCGGGGCTCAGTTCCCAGCTCGGGCATCGCCACGCTGCCTTCAGTCAGTCGAGATGTCCGGGTTGCGTTGAGGGGGGCTGAGCTCGCAGGACGAGCGTGATGCCTCCACCCTGGTGCTCGGGTCTGGGGTCCAAAGGGGAGCAGAGCACGCGTCACGCCCGGGCTCTTGTTTCTGCGGCTCGGATGGGAGCGCGCCACCATCCTCTGCACACGGCGGCGAAGGAGCGGGGGTTCAAACTCTTTCCAGCCGCCTGTTATCGCTCTCTCATCTCTCTCTTCGTTTCTCAACCTAGTTTCCTATTAGGGCTGTGCGAAACGAGTCGAAACCACGTTGAAATGAAACTGCCAGCAAAATTTTGCACAGCCCTGTTTCCCATCCCACTCCTATTTTCCTTCCAGGGATTGACCATATCCAGTCCCTATGCAACTTGCTTACACAGAGACAGTAATAACCAGGTTACCGTAGGGAATGTGTTTGGTTTTATTATACTACCTGGGTCAGACTGGAATATGGAGAGAGGTGTCTCTGGCCTCGCAGGAGAAATTAGTAATACTGGGTAATTCGGGGACACTGGAACTAGGCTGATATAGACAGGATAACAAATGTTACTGGTAGTGGTCGGGCACGGTATTTGGGGTAAGACGGCCAATACTTTTCTTGTTGAATGGTCGTGCAACGAACAAGAGTCAATACTATTTTAGATTTGATTTTTATTAAATAATAACCACCTTACAGAGGGTCACTTCTTGATTCAAGATGACTTTCCAGTAATTATGAGCTGTTCTGTCTAAATTGCAAGGTAACCAAAACAGGTCTGCAACTGGGGTTTGGATTTCAGAAGAGCAAACTTTGAGCAACCAAGGAAATTAGTTCAAGGGACCAGTTGGATTCAGGGTTCAGGGGATTTAAATGCAGATGAGCCATGCAAATCAAAACCACAAGTACTATCTGGAAAATGTGGATAGGGAAATGTTACAGGCCAAACTGGACAAACTAGCGCATTATCCAGGCATTAAGATATACAAGGAATGGATAATAAAGATTGATCAGTAAGGAGAGAGGTCTTTCACAGGTCAGAAAGTACAGAAAGGAAGTGGTAATGCCCAAAGGCCTGCATGAGTTCAAACTTGCAATGAAAATCAAAAAATAGCAAAAGGTCTGTCAGTCATATAAATGAAAAAGAACTAGGAAGGAAACCTTTTATACCCTGACAATAGGATAGAGATAAAGGACAATCTAGATATGTCCTGAGGACTGAATGAACACTCGGTCTTCAATATGGATGAGGAAGCAAGTGAAGATAGTGGTAAAGTACAAAATGGGGATGAAGAATTGGTCATTAAAACTACCACACGTGATATGAATGCAAGACTTAGCTTGCTTCTTGTGAGGAAATATGGTACGACCAAATATTCTCCACCCCAGAATGCTGAAAGAATGGCACATGAAAAAGCAATTCCTGTGGCACTGATCTGTCAGTTCAGGTGTAGTACCCTGTTACTGGAGAATAGCAACGATAGTGACTTTATTCAAGAAAGGTGAAAAAAAATGGTCCCAGGTAATTACAGGCCCATTAGTATGACTTTAGTATTATGCATGATTTTAGAACAGATTGAAGGAAAAAATAGAGAGATGGAGGTAAAAGAAAATAAGACAAGATGCGATATAATTTTATCCAAAGGCAGAGGTGGATCCAGGAGCGTGCAGTAGTGCAGTCATCTCTTTTTAATTCTTGACCCACCCATACTTTAAAACCAATTGCTTGTCAAGGGCAGTGGCATTTCTACTAAGAAAGTGCTGAGAGTGTCAATTGACTTCATGACTCCTAAGCTAAGCCCTCTGATTCCTGCTAATATTTGTCCACTCTGCAAGCGTTAAGGACCTGCTATCTTTTTTAATGGACTTGATGTTCCTCTATTCAAACTATCCTTTCTTCTGCAATTTTGCTGTCTATTAGCCGTTCCTGATTATGCCTCATATTTTTCACAGCCCTGCAGATTGCTTGTACCGCTAGTTAAAAACTCAGGTTAAATCTGGTGTGGTAATATTAACTCGGGTGTAGAAATGACTAACAGTGAAGTATAGGAGGCACTGTCAAGATGCTCAGGAAGACTAGATTTTGTTTTGTGAATCTTAATAAGATATGCACATTTAACTATAATGACTACAGGACTAATGACACAATATCTTAGTAAAGCTTCTAGTTTCTCTCTAACTGGAGAAAAATAGGTTGTGTTGTATGTGATGATGTAACATACCATCTGCAGTGCTAGGATTTTCAAAATCCTAGATCTGCCCATGTCCAAAGGAGTTCATGTCAGAACAATAACTTAGAGAAGGGTAATACAGTGGACCTAATTTACCTAAATCAGGGGTCTGAAGCTCACCTGGTGCCCAGGACTGCAGGGCTCTGTGTAGGCTAGATCTAGCTCAAGGCACACTGGGCACCTATATGCATGCAGTGAGTCTGCTCTGACTCACTGAAATTACAGTGTATTGGAGCCGACTTGATTAATTGAGTCTGCTGGAGTGTGGTAATTACCATGCTCCAGCAGCCTCCAGCATCGCGTGTATCAGTGTTTGATGAGCTTTACTTAAAGCACCCCACTGCCATTTTGAAGTGCAGGGATGCTGATACATGAGGTGCTCCAGATGCTTTAATTTAGAGCAGCTTTTGGACTCACTCTATTTAAAGTGCCCCTTCCACAAGCCAGGAACATGTGCATAAATGCCCTGGATGCCTGTGTTAGGGCCAGCAGTAATGAATCCAGAATGGGGCAAAGAGTGATGATGGATTCAGCACAGGGCTGCAGAGGCAATAAGGCAGTAGTGATTGCAGATGACACCAAGCTGAGCAGAGTAGTAGATAGGCTGGGAGGAAGGGCTAGGATTCAGAGTGACCTAGACAAATTGGATTGGGCCAAAATAAATCTCATGAGGTTCAACAAGGACAAGTGCAAAGTCCTGCACTTAGGATGGAACAATCCCATGCATCAGTACAGGCTGGGGGGCTGACTGGCTGGGCAGCAGCTCTGCAGAAAAGGACCTGGTAGTTACAGTGGACAATAAGCTGAATATGAGCCAGCAGTGTGCCCTTGTTGCCAAGAAGGCTAATGGCATACTGGGCTGCATTGGTAGGTGTGTTGCCAGCAAGTCAAGGGAAGTGATTGTTCAGCACTGGTAAAGCCACATCTGGAGTACTCTGTTCAGTTTTGGGCTCCCACTGCAGAAAGGATGTGGACAAATTGGAGGGAGTCTAGCAGAAGGCAACAAAAATGGTTCAGGGGCTGCAAGAACTGGACTTGCTTAGTCTGCAGAAGAGAAGACAGAGGGGTGATTTGATAGCAGCCTTCAAATGCCTGAAGGGGGGTTCAAAAGAGGATGGAGCTGGACTGCTCTCAGTGGTAGCAGATGGCAGAACAAGGAGCAATGGGCTCAAGTTGTAGCAAGGGAAGTTTAGGTTAAATAATAGGAAGAATTTTCTCACTGGAAGAATAGTAAAACACTGGGACAGGTTACCCAGAGAGGTTGTGGACTTTCTATCCTTGGAGGTTTTTAAGACCCATGTAGAAGGCTGGATTGATCTAGTTTTGGATGGTCCTTTGAGCAGGGGGTTGGCCTAGATGATCTCCTGAGGGCCTTTCCAACCCTGATTTTCTATGATTTCTATGATGGGCCAGGGAGCC